TAATCGAATAGCTCTCGGGCTCACGATATTATTAATCGTAGCACGGGCAATGGCAGAGCACGCGACGCGATTTATTGGCGATCTCCGCGTCGGTGGCGGCAGCGGAGGACCGCGTTTGCCGAGGCGAAACGTTCCGCACGATGCGGACGCACGGTGGCACGATTTCACGACTCGCGAGAATAAATGGCCGTACGGGTTAAACGCGATCACGTGAACGATTCCATAGCGAGAGTACTCGAAAGTCAAATGATCTACACCGAAAATGGGAAAATGTCTTTTGGTTTCGTTTAAGTCAATTATATTACTAAGTATATATATATATATATATTTAGATAGAATTATATGATAATAATGGATATTTATATTGGCGTAAATATACATAGGTACATGTACTATATATAAATATTAATCCCATTGAAAAAGTATTTATCACATAGATGATAAGTACTTAGAAATAAACTTCCTTGTGAACCATGGCTTATAATAATTCAAATTGGATTAACACAGGATAGAAGTGTAACGATGAAATCAAATTTTCGTCGTTACTATTTGTCACTTCACTCGTAAACGTTCTCTCTCTCTCTCTCTCTCTCTCTCTCTTTTTCTCTCACATTCCAATGATTTTGATATTGCCTAGGAATAGAATGGTATTATCTTTCTCTCTTTCTCTTCCTCTGCCTTTTCATCGCTCGGAAATATCACGTATGTTCATATCAAATTTATCGTATTAGTTATACCAATAATATATATATATATATGTATCTATGTTTATATATGTATGTATAATAGCAATATATTTGTCCGATATGTTTCCCATCAAATTTGCAAGTACGCTGTCTGTATTTATTCGCGTTTTACCTAACGAGTCACGAATCCACTCTCGTGATATTACGCTTGTCCGACTCTCAATGTTTTCTTTATATAAAGGTGTGTATGAAAGAGAAACAGAGAGAGAGAGAGAGAGAGAGAGAGAGAGAAAGAGAAAGAGAGAACAAATCCGTTCATATGTTTGCCGTTTCCAGTTCGTATTCACTTCTCTCTCGTCTCTCACTCGAAGCGTTTGCCGACGGAATGCGGGAAGTTAGTAGAAGGGTTTATCAAGGCGGATACGAGTTCTAGCATCCACTGGGAGAAAGAGGGAGAGAGAGAGAGAGAGAGAGAGAGAGAGAGAGATAGATAGCGAGAAAGAGAGGGCGAAGCTACCTCTTCTCTCGAAATAACTCCACGCCCTTGCCGTATTAATTACCGGGATTCGTTCCGTCCTCATTTACAACGAGCTAATTTACCGTGGAATATACCTACCTACCTACCTTCACGTATTTTCACAAGTATGTGTGAAGACCGAACGCCTACGATTTCACTCTCGACTTTATTCATCGTGAGAATATATCATATCATATCATATACATATATATAATGGTATACATATATATATATATATATATATATTTATATATCATTAGATTTCATAATTCTGCTGAACACTTTTCTTTAGGATTCTTTTTGTATAGTGTACATATACATATATATATATATATATATATATATATATATATATATATATATATATAAACTTTGTTTCGTTTTTTTTTATTTGTTTTATTTTTTATATTTCTTTTATTTCATATATTATATATAATAATTTATATTATATATATATATATATATATATAAATTACTGGATCATATAATAATCCTGGAAGCCTTCTATATAGTTAAAATAGAAGACCCTCTTTTTGAAGCCTTTTTTGGGACTCTCTTAGGGACCCTCTCTATATAATCTACATTGATATATATATATATATATATATATATATATATATATGTATATGTATATTCTTTTTCATAAGGGAAACATTTGATAATTACCAAGCAACTTCTTGTTTTTTTCCTTTTTCCTATTTCCTTCAATTTCTCTCTATCCGTTTTATTTATTTCTTTTCTTTTTTCTTTTTTTTTCCTTTTTTTTTTTCTTTTCTTTTTATAATCGCCCCAACAAAACGTTTTTAAATTCTATCGTTCACGTCACTTTATATCGCTCATTATTTTAGAATATTACTCATAGAATATGACCATTACATTTTCTTTAATCGGCCATTATATACCAATGATTTTAAATGCTTATGATTACGTTTTATTATTAACATTATGTTTTTCATTAAGTCAATACGACCAACAGGTGTGCCATATTAATAGAGATTACAACATTCCCTCATCTCTTTTGTATATATTAAACGTTAATCGTCAATGAAGTTTATCAAAACGACTAATCATATTGATTAGTTCAAGTATGTGAGTGACAGGAGTAATCAGGGATAGGGGGAGAGGGATGAAGAGGATACACAATAGGGAGAAAGAGAGAGAGAGAGAGAGAGAGAGAGTAATAATTTCTGTTAAGACAGATAGAATCGATTTTTTCATTGGAAATTTTATCCAAAAGCATTACGAATAAATATTTCTTTCGTTCATTTTTTTTTTACTTCTTTTTTTTTTTTCATGATTTCTTTTTCTTTTTATTTATTTTTTCTTTAACTCTTATCTCGAATCGTGACTCGATAATCGATATCGATATGTGCATAAATATGATATACACGCAGGTACAAGATCATACCTAATATATTCCACGAATTTGATATCGACGTTAGTTTTGAAAAAAAAAAAAAAAAGAAAAAAATAATAAGTAATTCGTACGAGGATAAACAATGTGAACATATTTCCAATGTTGAAATCTATTATTAATCCGTACTAATGACTATGTTTTTAATGACTAACAAGAAAACATCTCGTACGTCTCTATCTATCTATGTATCTATGTATGTATGCATGAATATATATATATATATATATATATATATATATATATATATATATATTGCAATAAAGTAATAATACATTTCCATTACTCCGAGCGATTTGTTCTTACACGGTCATTTAACTGAGCATTTATTGACGTATGCACATACATAAATACATTCATGCATATATATATATATATATATATATATATATATACATATATATTTATATACATGCGATACAAGGAATCGATTACGTTTCTTTTCAATTCTTTTCGATTTCTTTCTTTTTTTTTTTTTTCTTTTGATTTTCTTTTCATCCTTTTCTTTCTTTTCTTCTTTTCTTAACGGGGACAAGCGAGGGATTGCATTTCATCAGTAATGATTTGAACTTGAATTTGTTTACCTCCCCCTTTTTTCTTTTCTTTTCTTTTTTTTTTTTTTTTTTAATTTTTAAAAAATCTTCTTCTCTTTATTATTGAGGTCGTTGTTCTAACAGGATAAGGAGACACAGAGAGATAGAAAGAGATAGATAGATAGATAGATAGATAGATTGCGAGAGAGAGAGAGAGAGAGAGAGGATACATTTACAATATGCAAAATCGTATCTATTGTTTTCTACGATCATTTGGGCCACGCCCAACCTGAAGCCATGCTCTCGTCTGGATCTATTCGTAAGATCATATCGTACGAAGGCATGTCGATCTTTAACTATATCTCAAAGTTATTCGCTTAGCGGCTTTCAAAGAAAGTATAATAGGAGAGGTATAGTGTAGGTGGGGGAAGGTGGGGTGGGTGGGGGTTTAAGGGTGGCATGAGGAGAAGAGAGATAGAGGGAGAGGAAGGCGGGAATGGGGGTAGAAGGGAGGTCACGAAGTTCACGGGATTCGTGAGATCGAGCTAATACTCGATGGTGCGCGCAGGGGGGGGTGGGTGGGGATGATGGTAGTGGGGAGAAAGGAGTAAGGACGCGTTCTGCACGTTTTACTAGTACCATGTACAAAATGGACAACCCATTGTAGTATCCGGAGGTACATACATCCCACTCCTCTCCCGCCCCCCTCCCTCCCCCGCCGCCTCTTTTCTCTTCACCCTACAGGTGGGGTATTTACAATTTGCATTGTTAGAAATTCGTAATATGTAACTACGTGTTGATTTAGTAGAACTCGAAGGTATCCCGACAAATGGTTAAGAGTAGATAGTGTCGGCACGACAAACTCGCTTCTCAAAGTATAATATTTATGTATATATATATATATATATATATCTGTGTGTGTGTGTGTGTGTATGTATGTGAATACATATGTACTTACATACCATAGTTTATAGCTTGTTACATTGCAGAAGATATTTAATAGATAATATAATTATCGTTTAATCGTTGCTAATTTCACGAAGATTTATGGTTATTACATAATTGTAAGGAAAAAGTATTAATATAATTAAATGATTGAAGATATTTAAAGATTTTCTTTAACAGATCGTTAAATCGGTCCAATTTGATCGAGATTCTGAAATTTGTTGGATCATTAAAGTGAAATAAATTTAACGGGAGTATATCTATTTTTGATGTTTCAAATGCGCAAATTATATTTCCTTATCGTTTTGCAGATCTTCAATCTATAATATATATCTAAGAAAAAAGAAAAATATATATATATATGTTCTTTTTAATTTTTAATGAATCTAATGTATAGATATTTCAGCTATTACAGTATTTAAAATGTATCAATAAAATATAAAATATCAAAAAGAGAGAGATAATAAATGAAATAAATTATACATTGAAATTATAAAACAAATATTTCAACCACTAGCAAATCTAAACTATATCTATATATATATACATTTATTTATTTATTTATTTATTTATTTATTTATTTGTATGCGATAAATAATTCTACTGCTATATAATTCAAAATGGTATACATATAACAATAACCATATAATAATTATATATATATATATATATATATATATATATATATAATAATAAATATACACGGCAAACGATATAAAACGAACAATTTATTCGTTGTTTAATCACCAAAAAAAAAAAAAAGAAGGAAGAGAAATAATCAATCGAAACGAATCAAAATTAAATATGATCTTTAATTGAACGGATATTTGTAGAAAAGAGAAAAGAAAAAAAAAGAAAGAAAAAAAAGAAATTAATTAATTAATGAAAATAAAATAATGTTACAGCTGCTTGTGAGCGGCGGGCAGCCGACAACGGCGACTTCGCCAGCGATGTCGTCAGGTGGAGCCTTAAGTCCTGGTGCCCTTTCACCCTCGTCGACGGCGACTACGACGACGGGGGCTGGAGGTGGAACCGGTACTTCCGGTGGCGCTACAACCCCTGTTGCTGCCGCAACAGGACCTGGATGCTGTGAAAATGGGAGACCTATGATGACCGATCCAGTAACCGGTCAAACTGTTTGCAGTTGTCAATATGATAGTGCCGCGAGGTTGGCATTAGGGGCTTATCCAAGATTGGCACCAACTGCTACCTCATATTCCTCTTACCCCACACCAACACCTTCTACCACCGATCAGGCTCCTTATCCTAGTATCGGTATGGACAGTTCTGCCTTCTATTCACCTCTGGTAAGTGCATCCTTTTGTTTATTTATTTATCTTTTTTTTTATTTGAAAAAAAAAAAGATTTTTTTTATTCTTACAATAAACGTCTCAATCGATGCTTTTGATTTGTCCAAGAGAAATTTCATATCTTTTCTTTTCTTCTTTTTTTTTTTTTCCCCTTTCCTTTTCGAACGATGGTGATACCATCGTAATAATACGTGCGCTTATGAACATTTAAATCTTAATTATAAAAAAACGAAATTTATTCTATGAAATTCATTGATATTACGCACGTAATATTTGTTCATAAGATTGATAATTAAATTTTGAAATCATTACGTATAAACGCGTAAACCCGATTTCATAATACGAATTTCATAAAATGAATTTTTATAATACGAATTTCATAATATTGAAAAATTCGGAATGTCCATTTGTTTCGTTTAAATAGTTATTATGAATTTCGTAATATTAATACCATAGGATGAAATTCATACTATGATGAAATACGTAATATGGAATTCATAGTATGAAAATTCATAACGTGATTCATAACGTTTATAATATTGTGAAATGTTCTAATTGTATATTTCATATTACGAAGTTTAGAATGAATATTGAGAATTATTATTATAGCAATTAAGAAACTTAACAGTTCGAAATTTTTTTTAACGAGATCATTACTATGAAACTTATACTATGAATTTCATAAAGCGTAATATTTATTCTCATAATATATAGATAAAAATTATGAACATCGTAATACCAATGTATTTCATAGTACGAATTCTTTATTATGAAGTTCGGAGTTCATAACGTTTATCTTATAATATTAAAAATCAATAAAGTTCATGAACACGTGTTACAAACTAAACAATATTTAATAATTAACAAAACCATTGGAATAATAATAATATTATGAATTATTTCAAAAAGAACGAAAGAAAGACAAAAAAAAAAGGACGAAAAAAAAAGCGAAGTATAATCGTTTGTTCCTTTTTGTCTGATATTTTTTTAATTGGAATGGAACGTCCATTTAATTTAAGAGTTAACAAAAAAAAAAAAAAAAAAAAAAAAATTAAAATAACAAATACGAATACATAATGAAAAAAAAAAAAGAAGGAGGAAAATAGAAGAAAGAAAATTTTCATTTCCTTTCTCTTTCCCTTTCTATTTTCTTTTTTCTTTTTTTTTTTTTTGTCTTTTTTTTTCTTTTTCCTAATCGCAATTAACTCTAACGTCTAACGAAAAGAGAGTACATTGATTTAAATAAAGTATCTAATTTTTTTTAGAAGATTTAAAAGATCGAGTCATCCAATGTGGCGCACTCAAAAAAAAAAAAAAAAAAAAGAAAAACAAAAAAAAAAGAAAAACAAAAAAAGAAAAGAGGAAAAAAAAACGAAAAGAATTCTCATTGATATTTCTAAAAGAATAAAAGAATTATGAAAAGAGATGGATCATGATTAGGTCGAGTTAGATTCAATCATTCGATTGTTACTACTCTCGGACCCTTAACTTAAGATGAATTAACACGTGGTCTTTGGGACGAATTAGCTCGGAATCTCAATGATTGAAGTCCACAAGCAAGAATCGTATGGTTCCTTCCTCCTTTATTCTTCCCTCTGCTTACCCGCGGAAAGTTCTTGGTCCCTCTTCTAACGTGGATAACTCATACGTCTTTCTGCCTATTCCACGCCGGCTGGCACAAATTATTCAACCGTTCTCGCATAGCCTAACCTAGTCGAGAGAGAACGAGGCGATAATCTCGTTTGAGTCTTTCCTTCGCGGAAGAAAGCGTCAGCCGGTACGTTTAACGAGCACCCTTCTCTCCAAAGACGAATTCGCGGACATATTTTAGAAGGGAGTCTTTGCTTCTGTCCTTCACCATTAAGAATGAAAGAAAGAATGAAAGAAAGAAAGAGAGAAAGAAAGAAAGAAAGACGGAGAGAGACAGACAGTTTAGAAAGAAAGAGATAGACCAAGAATTCATTCCTCTCTTTCTCTCACTCTCTTTCTCTCTCTGTCTCTCTGTCTCTCTGTCTCTCTGTCTCTCTGTCTCTCTTTCTGTCTATACGTCTGTCTGTCTTTCTCCTTCTCTCCTTTATACGAGTCTAATAATAATTTCTTGAAATAAACTGGATGGTGTGGGTGAGAGTTAAGAGTCAGAGTAGGATATTTCTTTTACGTTTTCCCTTTTGTATATTCTCAAGAGCATGATTTTAGGATAGAAACGATGATAATTCGTTCGCACTTTGACCAATGCTTCTTCTTCTTCTTCATTTTTTTTTCTTTTTTTTTTTTTTATTTTCTTCACAAATATTATATTCATTCTTTCTTTCAATTTTGTTTCTTTTTTTTTTTTTTCTTCTTTTTTCTTTTCTCTTTTTCCCAGTTTCTTTTTGAAACATACGCCAAAAAAAAAGAAATCCGAACGAATTCTCGATCATCTTCATTGTACATAAATTTGTTTAGATTTTTTATTGATTCTCTGATGCAAAATTGTTTTTCGATCGTTTTATTTGATTTTTATTTTCTCTCTCTGTCTCTCTCTCTCTCTCTCTCTCTCTCTCTCTCTCTCTCTGTGTATGTGTGTGTGTGTGTTTTTATTTGTATATTCAAAAATAATTTTCACGAGGATTCAATTTTATTTATATGAATAATCGTAAGGACTAATAATAGTACGATACTCGTTTATTTTCATAATTCGTATTGAATATAATATATATATATATATATATATATATATTATGTAAAATATAATAATTAAATAAAATGAAACATTATTATAAAACAAAAGTTTTCAATCAGTTTAACAATTTCGTTTAATTATTTATCTTTTTGTTTTTTTTTATTCGCAATAGTTCTCTTTCAATGTCTAAAATTTGCAATGTCTAAAATGAATGAAATAATGGTAAATTAATTATAATACTCGAACGAAATAATATTTCATTGGAAATGAATACAGTAAAAGAAGATAATTATCTCGCATACATACATACATACATATATATATATATATATATATATGTATATATTTACGTATCTTTTAGTATATCATTAGAATCCTCTGATATCTTGTCGCGTACATTTCTTCTTTATTAAATATCTTTCTTTTTTCTTTTCACGCGACGATCGAAGGAAGGAAGGAAAAAGGGAAAAAGAATCAAAATGGCGTCGGATGATCCTTTTTTTTTCTTTTTTAATCTTATCGTGATAACAACCAAAAAGAAAAAGAAAAAAGAAAAAAAGAAACGAAAAAGAAAAAAAACATCTTCGACCATCTTATTTCCTTTTAAGCAATAAAACTCGAGCACTTGCAATATAGGAACGAAACGAAATAGAAGTTGGCTTTAACTTCTATTAGAAAGAGAAAGATAGATAGATAGATAGAGAGAGAGAGAGAGAGAAGCGTTGTGCTCGATTGCATATCGTTATTCGTTAATTAGAGTAAAGTCGGTCCGCATCGACGGAGATACAGGACGCGTTCCTTCGAGATTTCCTTCGCGTGCTATGCAAGCCAAACGAAAGTGTATACCAGTATCGTTGGTGTACCTTGGTTGCAACCAGCAACTCAAGTAATTAAGTTAGTGCGGACATTGCAATTACAATATATCGAACGATCGCGTGCAGTCATCGCTTGAAATTAGTAGACGGCGCGATGAAATTTCTAGGGAAATATTTCTACGTCCTATTGGTTGGTTCGCGTCTCGAAGGATTTTAATCAAATTCTGTCACGATTACACGGTATGGTTGGTTAAAAAAAAAAAGAAAAAAAAAATGGGAATAGAAATATTACTTTCATAGATTATACTTTACGTATCGAGAATACTCTAATTGTAGGATCTATAAATTAAATTATTATTAAAAATTATTATCATATATATATATGTATTGAATAATTTGTTTCTTATAATTTAAATAAATAAAAAAAAAAAGTATAAAAAAGAAAGAATTGTTTTTATTTTAATTAGATTTATTTGTCGTTTATTATTGCAATTATCGAAGATTCAGTCAAAAGTGTTCAAATGATTTTTTGTCAAATCAATTATTGTTCTATTGTTTAGACTATTTACACTAATTTTTTCTTTTTTCCCTTTCAATTGTTATTCAAAAACAACTCTGCTTCCTTAGTTTGAATAATTAATTATGTAATGTGAAATTTATTATATAATTTATTCGTTATTATTTTAGAAAACGTTAGTTTCATTTTTACTAAAATTAGATTTTCCTATTGCATATTATAATTATCATATATATTTATTTTATCAATTACTATATATATATATATATATATTTATTAATATTATTGAAATATTATTAATATTGTTAATATCAATGTATTTCTTATGGATATTTTATATATAAAAATAAAAAAAATAATAAAAAGCTATTAAAAATATTCTTAATGAATATCTTCTAAGGGAGAAAATTAATATATGTATAGAAAAAAATAAAACAAAATAAAACAGAACAAACGAACGAACGAACAAACAAAAAGAAAGAAGGATGAAAGAAAAAGGATGAAAAATGAATAAATAAATTTGATTCGATATTGAAGCTGGTTTTCCTCGATGGTGATCGTAAAGGCCCCCGCCATACTAGTTTAAAATATCTAATCGCGAATATGTCGACGATATAGCGACAAGCATAGTTGACATAGAAACGGTCGCGTTTATCGTTCCTTCGATGATTTTACACGCGCGTTCGGCTCGCGAGATAGCGCGCGAACACGAACTGTTAATAAAGAGGCCGTCCTTTTAGTTTACGTCTATTTACGGAATATGAGGTATTTTAAGAAACATAAATTACACCTCGTGCTCGATAATTTTTCCTATTTTAAAATTAATGAAATTTTTTGCATAGACGTCACGTTCTTTTTTTTTTTGTCTCCTCATTATTTCCTTCCTTTATTTTTCTTTCTTTTCTTTTTCCATTGATATGACATAAGAATATATTACGTTTCATCGAAGAATTTTATTAATCATTAATTATTAATTGTTTTATATATATATATATATATATAT